TTGATTAATAAAAAATCATTTTCAGAGCATCTGTAGTGTAATGGTGTAATAGCATAAAGCACTAACCATCAAAAAGTGTTTTCAGTACTTTTTTTTTTTTTTGCAGTATTCACAAACAGTGAGAGAGAGAGAGAGAGAGAGAGAGAGAGAATTCAGGCGTTTCCGCCCATCCTGCCAACGGTTCACTTCCTGTCTTGCTATCATTTAGATACAGCAACATACATCTTTGTTTTACTGCAGCAGCTACTGGAAATCAGACACAAAGGTAAGAATAAATAAACATATTTTGAACAGCGAGTAGTTCGGTCAGATATTTTACATAGTGACGATTAGGAAAATAGCAAAATAAATGTTTCTAGTTAAACTGAAATATCTATGATAAATTCTGCATTAGGTGAAAAGGGAAAAGAAAGTCTGGCTGTTCTCAAGACAGTAGCAATACAACAGAACTTCTATGTAATAATACTCATATTTAGATGCAAATGACAGAGTCACTGAGCTGACTGTGAAGAAATAACATCATGGGGAGCCTATGGTCTGCACATTGCTGTGCAAAAACGAAAGAAAACAGTTGTGAGCAAGACAACATTTCCACTGCTGAGAAGAGTGAAGAAAGTTCACTCCTCCCTGTTGGACAGCAGAGGGGGGGAAACACAGTGAAGGAAACAAGGGAGGAGCCTGCATGCACACATGCTCAAGAAACTTCTGGGGAAAATGACTGCAGTGAGAACAGCAATGATACTGCTGAACTCAGTGCCCTCAGGTGAGACCTTTATTATCTTCTTCTAAGTAAATATACAATCAGTATTTCTAAGGTAAAAGATGAAATAAATTATTAGGGTAGATTTATAAACCATGTATCGCTAAAGCAGTTTTGCCTTTTTCTAGTCCTTGTCTGTCTGCTTCAGCAGTAACAGAAATGAAAGGTAAGTTAATAATTATAATTTTATGATTAACTCTGATCATAAAATGCACATGCTTTCATTCTTTGTCTTCTAAAGTCCTAAACAACATGTCTTACATTTTTTTTAACCTTTTCATAGATGCAGCCTTGGTGGATCAGAACCGCACTAAGCTCATTCAAAGCGTCACTTTGGTGATGGCTATAGCTGATGAATTGAGACAGCGGGGTATGATCCATCCGGAGATATACAACAAAATCAAAGCTGCTGGGACTAGCCAGGATCAGATGAGGGAGCTCTACAATTCACTGACTACTAGAGAAGTCAAATCTAACTTCTACAAAATCCTCAAAGAAATTGAGCCACAGACATGTGAAAGTATGTTTCAGTTGTTTGGTAACTATGTATACAGTGCATAGGGAAAGCATTTACAGCGTTTGACATTTTGTCATGTTACAGTCTTAATCCAAAATGGATTAAATTCATTTTCACCTTAAAAAACAATAATTTTTTTTCAAAATTTCTAATACATTCATGTGAATGTGAACCAAACAGTTTTCACTTTATGTATCCTTCTCTGTGTAGAATTTTATTTAAGTAAAAAAAATGTATCTATTTTGGAATAGGACGAAATGTGGAACATGTGAACTGCTGTGAATACTTTTCGGGTGCACTGTACAATTATTAAATAGAATTAATATAATGTTACAAATTTGCGTAAAGTGCAAATAAATACAAAATGCAATGGTTTTTAAATCTCATATCCACATTTTATTTAGACAATAGAAGACAATAGAAAACACATGCTTTATTTTGAAATTGGTGGTTTTCCTCTTTACCTACAGCAGAAGATGTCATCAAGGAGGTCATCAAAAAGAACAAAGAATATCTGAGGCAGAAGTGTCAGTGGGAGTTGGAAGGCACTGGGAAGTCTCGTAAGGATGAAAAATCATTGGATAAAATTTACACAGAGCTTCACATTATACAAGGAGAGAGTGAACATGTCAATAAACAACATGAGATCTGGGAGATTGAAGATAAAGCGAGAAATCAAACTGTTGAGGGTACAAAAATCAACTCTAATGACATCTTTAAACATGTGCAAGGCGACAAGGACATGACAGCAATTCGGACTGTGATGACAAAGGGGATCGCTGGCATTGGAAAAACTGTCTCTGTGAAGAAGTTCATCCTTGACTGGGCAGATGGAAAAGCCAATCAGGACTTGGACTTCATCCTTATGTTTCCATTCAGGGAGCTAAATTTGGTCCAAGATGATCAGATTAGCTTTGAGAACCTTGTGAAAACATTCCATCCAGAACTTAAAACCATAGCAGTTGCGAGAGCTTTGGCTGATCGTAAAGTTTTGTTCATCTTTGATGGTCTCGATGAAAGTCAACTTCAGCTGAAATTCAAAACGACCACAATACTGGATGATGCTACGAAGGTGTCCTCAGTGGACACTCTGGTGACCAACCTTATCAGGAAACATCTTCTTCCCTCTGCACTTGTTTGGATTACCTCAAGACCAGGAGCAGTTCGACGCATCCCTATTAAGTATGTCGACCAGTGGACCGAGGTCAGAGGATTTGATGATCCACAAAAAATAGAGTACTTCAGAAAGAGAGTTGAGGACAAAGCAGTCGCTGAAAAAATAATTGAACACATAACAATGTCACGGAGCCTGTACATTATGTGTCACATACCTATCTTCTGTTGGATTGCTGTACATGTTTTTGAGTATTTGATGCGTAAAATGAGAAACACCAAAGATGGAAACCAAAAAATACCCACAACTCTTACTGGGATGTACACACACTTCCTTCTTATTCAGATGATGATAGCTAATGAAAAATATGGCAACCAGGAAGACCAGGAAGAGCCTGATACAGCAGAGCTTTTTAAGTCAAATGAAGAGTTCATTTTGAAATTAGGCAGGTTGGCCTTTGAGCAACTGGAAAAAGGCCAGATCATATTCACTACTGAAGATCTGAAGAAGTATGACATAGATATAACGAAAGCTGGAGTTTACTGCGGGTTGTGTACAGCAATATTCAAAGAAGAGAGCGTGTTCCTAACAAAGAAACTTTACTGCTTTGTGCATCTGACAGTTCAAGAGTATTTTGCTGCTCTCTTTGTATATCACAGTTTTGCAAACAAAAAAATCGATTCTGAAAGTCTCAAGGATTTCATGCTAAAAGGGTCTGATGAAGAGCTCAAGTCTATCTTGGAAACAGTTCCAGTGGATCTACCTTTAAATGAACTGATTGAAATTACAATAGCTAATTCGGCTCCTAGAACGACCGGAGAACTGGACATGTTTCTCAGGTTCCTTATTGGCTTGTCTCTACAATCAACACAAGACCTGCTTCAAGGCCTGATTCAACAGACTGAAGAACACTCTGCAAATATTGAGGAAATTCGGTCAAGTCTTTTAGATATAGATTTATTGGATTGCTCAGCTGAAAGATGTCTAAACCTTGTCCACTGCCTGACTGAGTTGAAAGACAGTTCCCTACATGATTCAGTACGAAAGTATCTGAAACCAAATTGTTTTCCTGAATCACCGCTCTCTCCTGTTGAGTGTTCAGCTCTGGCTGACTTGATTCTGATGTCAAACACGCCTCTGGATGAATTCAATATCAAGAAATACAGACCATCAGAAAGAGGTATCTTTAGACTTCTTCCAGCTGTGAGAAACTGCAGGAAAGCAAGGTAAGTTGGTTCTTTATACAAGAATGTTATTAAGTTCAGCAACTTGAGAGCACTGCAATATTTGGGCAGTGCTTTGTTCCTCCTCTTGTGATCCTATGAACAGTCAACTTGATAAGCAAGCTTATCAGTAAGCTTTAACGTAAGGGACTAAGTAACGTCCTAACAACAATAACACAATAAAGCAGTAAATTTAAAATAAATATAATAAAATAAATGAAAGGAGACTGAAGAAGAATTATAATGTTTCGATGTAAGGGTAAATTCTTCTCCCCATATTGCTGCTGTATGGTTCTGAGGACTGAGACTCAGGTGGAGCGCAGGATTTATTCACAAGAGATATGTTTTGTTAAAATCCATTTTATTACATGAACCTGAAGTCTGTGAGTAGCAACAGACTTTTACAACAACACATGCGTTACAACAACAGATGTGTGTTAATGAAGATGCTGCTACTGTTCCATATGTGTAAATGTGCCTGTGTACAACCATAAATACTTGAAGTCAATATTGCACACTATAACATTAAACACATTAGTCTAGCACACTAACACAGCCCCATCAAGAGCTGCTTTTTGACAGACCTGTGGTATAATTAACAACATCAATGTGTTATAAAGAAACATGGAAACCACTGTGTGTACGCACTGCTGAGAAAAGACACGCAGAAATGGGTACCTTGTACATGTCTTGTGACATAAATCTCTCCTTCCTTTCCTCTTATCCTCCATATTGAGTTTGTCTTTGTTTCAATAAAACACCAGTACTATTGTACTGTAGGAATATGTGGGCACGGGCTCTAAGCACTCAGAGTGAGGACCAGATAAAGACTTACAGAACACATCCTGAGTTTTAGCACTGTGCTCACAGCTTTGAGCCATCCAGTTACGCAATTGTACTGATAACATTTCACCCTCTCATTCCAAAAAACACAAGACACACATTTCATCTTAAATTCAGCACAATTTACAGGGAATTGCTGACCTCAAATCTCAGTAATTCACCTTCGTAGGAGTTAAAAATCTTCACTTCGAGAGATAATAGTGAAGCAGAAGAGTCGCACTCATTGGTGCACGCTAACTTTCTTAATGCATCTTCTTACATTTACAAACTTTAGCTTGTCTGTCTAAAAATGGCTGCAGTTGGTCAAAGTCAGACTGTGATTGTTTGGAAACACATTGCTGGGAGGTTGAATTTACTGGATAACAAGTTGGTTGCTCCAGCTACTTGTAATAGTTTGCAAACCCCAAAGAATTCAGTGCAGTTGCTCAGTAACAATTGAGTTTTCCTAATTGCAAGATTACCATCCCATTTTACTATAGTGTTTGAGGCTTCACAGCAGCAATGTTTTGCAACACTAGCTAGCAAAGGAATGAAGCTTGCTAATGTAAACAAATGACTGACTCCCACCACAGTACAGACTCCAGTATAAACTCCACAAGTACAGAAGCCCTATCAGTGGGGGGGTACCACTGGCTCCAGCTGACGTAATACCTGATGCTAGAGCTCTGGGAGCTGAAGAAAAACTAGTACAAGGCATGAGCAGACCAAGTTAAAGTACTGACCTACCAATCAAAGCTATATGAGGACATGAAAGAAATAAATACAGCCTGTAGGACTAAACCTAATGAATCTCTCAAGTGTGTCATATTTGCCAGACCAGACCTTTGAATCCATGCACTCTGCCTGTTAACTGATTAATCTCACACTGTGACATTAAACATTCTTTTTAAAAAAAAAAGAATGAAAAAACCTATCTCAAAAACATATTCAGGTCATGCTGTGAAGTGTTATGGGTGCTATTACTCCTATTGCAGTGATTTCAGTCAAGTAAATGATTTGCATGCTTCTAAAACATTATCAGATACTGAAGAACCATCTCTTTTCCCCATCTCTTCAGAATTTCAGGCTTGGATCTTTCTGTTTGGGAATATAAAACTATCGTTTCAGCTCTTCGTATGCCACATTCTGTGCTGACTGAACTGCACCTGGTCAATAATACATTTTACAGCAGAGATGACGAAGGTGCAGAGATATTGATTGATGGACTGAGGAATTGCCAGTGTAAACTGAAAACTCTTAGGTTAGTAAGAGTATTATTTTTCGTGATGTTTTTGTTATCATTTATTTGAATGAAACTGATATCATAATAATTTTGTGATTTTTTTTTTTTGCAGGCATTGCATATAGGGATGGGGATAGATAAGAATTAAGAAGTTCCAATTTCATTATCGACATCACTTACCGATTCAATTTTTTTTATTGATTCTGTTATCTATTCTGTGCAAGTGGAACTGATAAGCAGTAGTGATGTGTCGGACGTGAAAGAAACGGCTCTTTGAAGTGAACGTCGCGAGCTGTGTTTTTTTTTCCTCTCTCACCCTCTCTCTCGCACTTTTTTCTGCTTCACTCCGCACGCCAGCCTTGTGCTTGCGCTGAGCAGAGGGGGGAAGGGCGGTAGTTACACTCACAGTAGCACAGGAACAGTAGTGATGGGATTTCCGACTCTTTTTAGAGAACCGGCTCTTTTGGCTCGGCTCGGCTCACTAAAAAGAGCCGGCTCTTTCAGCTCTGAACCAGCTCTTCAGGTTGTTTTGTTGCTTTAATTAATTTATTATTAACAATAATATAAAATTATGCACAAAAGGAATTACTAATGTAAAAAAAAGTGGTTTTATTTATATATGTTTATATATAAATATATGCGCTAGCCCCTAGAGACAAAACACGTACAAACTCCAAAACACATTTCTAGCGTTAACTGAACTTCCAAAAAAGAGCTAACTAGATCACTTGAATTACACAATTGAAAGCATATGTGTATGGTTTGTGTATTAATACACAAGCACTCATATATATTCAAATAATTTTAAAAAATGTTCATTTACCTGTTACTACCACACACCAAATCCAGTCGTTGGTACCTCCTGGCTTGTGTAGCCACTAGGTAACAAAACCTCAACACTGTGCCTAGCATCCTGGAGCACTTCTGGGGTTTTGTACGTGTTTTGGAGTTTTTATGTGTTTTGGAGTTCGTGCGTGCTTTGTCTCTAGGGGCCACCGTAAATATACTTTTATTCATTCACTCCACATAAAATGTAATAAATAAATCATATAATACAAAAACCAACTTTTCACATTTCAACTTTTAACTATTTAAATTTTCAGCTTTTTCCTTTTTAAATAAATTTAAAGTGAAGCAACAAAAAAAACACTGCAAACCACAGCACAATTAAATATAAATTAAAATATGAAAACAAAAAGAAGATGCACATCTCTGTCATTTCGGCCTGCATGAATAAACTTTCTGAATCCTTTATCATCTGCAACTGAAAATAGTTGTGGATGATTACTATACCTTTCTAATGTGACTTGTTGTCCCTGGTTCTCTTTCTCTGTCTCTCCCTCACGCTCTGTTCCTGTGCTACTGCGAGTGTAACTACCGCCCCTCCCCCCTCTTCCCAGCGCAAAGCACAAGGCTCGTGTGCGGAGTGAAGTGAGAGAGTGGGTGAGAGAAAGAAAAAAGAAAACCCACGGCTCCCAATAAGGAGCCGGCTCGCGTTCTTCACTTCAAAAATCCGTCTCTAAGAGCCGTTTCGTTCGCGACCAACACATCATTAATTCACATGATTGTATGTATACACTTAGAGATGGGAATTGAACCGGTTCTCCCAGAAGTTCAGTTTCATTGGAATTATTAATCTGCTTTCCTATCGATCCTGCTTATTAGTGATGGGATTTCCAGCTCTTTTTAGAGAACCGGCTCTTTCGGCCCGGCTCACTCAGGAGTTCGACACCCCTGCTCTATGTAATGCTGTGAAAAACTAATTACACCTTTAGTGCTTCCAGGGATTAAGCTGGGTGCTACTAATCAAATACACTTGTATAAATGATCATTAGCGTGACCACCTACATGAAAGCAGTAGTTTTGGCTGGTGCATTCAGGTGTGTGTTAACACAATATCAGGAACTTTCCAATAGTGTACATCCCAGGAAATTCACCCCAAGGTCAAACTGTGCAATGCTCAGAGAGACTGCAAAAATGTCAAGAGCAGCACTCGGAAAAGCCTCTGTTCACATGTTAAATATTAAAGTTCATAATTGTAATCAGTATAATTAGAAAGAGTGAAAAAGAAAGGCATATTTGGGGGTATTGCCAGGAAAAGCCTGATCTTCTCTAAAAAGAATATGGCAGCATCGTTTAGCAGCGTTGCAGCTGAACAAAACACAAGAATTCTAAAGTAATGTGACAGCTATGTTTGGCTGAAATTACTCATGCAACAGGACAACGACACCACCCCCAGAATCAAGGTGCTACAGTGGTCCAGTCAAAATCCTGACTTCAACCTGACTCAAATGCTTGTGGCTTGACCACAGAATTTGAGTGTTTGCAGTAACAAATACCCACAAACCTTAATGTACAAAAGTAATAATGTAAAGAAGAGTGGGCCAACATTCCTCCACAATGATTTTATGAACTCATTACTTAACATTACAAAACAATTACTTCGAATGATTGCTGTTTAATGTAGTTCTAAAAGCTATTGAGTATTTTGTTTTTATAGGACTGTGTGAAAACTTTTTTTTCCCATGACTGTGTTCATCAGTCATTTTTCACCTATTATCCTTTATATTTGCAGTCTTTCTGGTCACGGGCTTTCAGAAACACAGTGTGAAAATCTAGCTTCAGCTATCAAATCAATCATCTCAAATTTAAAAGAACTGGAGTTGAGTGACAACATACTGAGGGACTCATTACTCTCTGTGCTCTCCACTGGACTGGGCTGCACTAACCTGGAGAACCTCAGGTCAGTGTTAGATGTTATTTAGATGTTATTCCTTATCTGGGACTTAGCATTGTAGCCTTAGATGACACGGCTTTGATCAGAAGTTATTTATACCATTATTGGCTTTCAGTTCTGGTTGGATGTCTAGGCAATAACCTTTCATCACTGCGTGTGGGTAAGCCCACTAACAACAACAAAAAAGTGCCCTTTCCATGTTTGGTCAATACAAAGAATGCATATGATTTTGCACTGGCAAAACTGATGCAGGACTCACTGAGTAACCATTGTTTTACACTATATTCTTTTGTGCGGTGGTTTTTGCATCAAAGATTTCATGAATGAGTAAGAGCCTATCCTATTACAGCCAAATGACAACCTGAAATGATTTAAAAAGTGGAAAACAAGAAACCTTTGACCAGTAATTTCAGAGGGAAATTGAAAATGTTGATTTTGAAATGTTCAAAAGGAACATCTCCCTTCTGACACTAAGCATAAAATATGTGCCACTTAAATGCACATACACTCATTGGCCACTTTATTAGGTACACCTTTTCAAGTGCTGCATGTTTGGCTTCATATCTAATCAGCCAATCACCCGGCAACTTAGTGCATTTAGACATGTAGCTATGGTGGAACTAATCTACACAAAGCTGATTTTAGTGACTTTGAAGAACCACAGGTGACTCTACTACTACTACTATCTTGGCCATGCCTTTTCTGTGGATTTTACCACTGGAATAGACATCCAGGGAAAAAAATCGGTGGTCCTCCAGACGTGCCAACTAGAATTGCTTACTGAGCACATCGGGTTTGTAGCTGAAAAGTCAATGTTTCATCCATAGGATTAATGTTAGCTAGCTCTACTTGCTCCATATTGTCTAGGTCCAAAAACAACATGAATGATAAGGAGAGCAAAGGGGATGCTCCTACTTTGCGAGGAAACAATTTGCCAGATACACTTTGGGAGAGGTTGAGCCTTTCATGCATGCCCAGATTTCATTGTTCTTCCTTTAGTGTTTACATCAGCTTGGTCCTGTGAGAACACACTCATGTATTGTACTGAGTGAACTGACCAAAAAGAAACCACAACTTCTTTTAACTTGTGTAACTGTATTCATGTGACATCCTGCTACAGCACTTTAACTGGACTTAAAAAGAAATACTATGGTTGTTACTTGTTGGCTTTGCGGCTAAAGGCAAGTACATAGGAGCAGCCAGACTTCTGTGTCAAAAAGTCTGCCTTGACTGTAATTAACTGGATGAATCACTTGTTAGAGCATGCAGTCTATGATGTAAAACAACACAGGACTTTTAGAGATGTGGGTCAGTCAACAGTTACACAGCACAGATGACCTTATTATGTTACTGGCAGGGACAATGAATTATAACAGGCATTTTGGGCTGTACATGGGCTTTTTTTTTTAACCATATTAACAGTTGAGCCAAATTCTTCTCTACAGTGTAAAATTGTCTTGAATAGACAACCCATTTCTTCCAAGACTTTTTTCTGTTTCAACTAACAGCCTTCATTGGTCTCATTGCATAAGAGTAACAGCCAATTTTTGTAAAAGTGGATGATTTACTGTATCTATGTATATCTATCTAATCTATGCTGTTTTATCCCCTGTATCAAAAGGTTGAACCGAAATTGTAGGATTGCAGAAATCTGTGAGAAGTTAGTAACGGCATTCACATCCAGCACCTGTTACCTGAAAGAACTGGAACTAAGCTACACTGATTTAAAAGACTCAGAAATGGAGAGCCTCTCTGATGGGCTGAAGAACACAAACTGTAGATTGGAGGCATTAAGGTACAACACTGCATTAAAAAACAACAACTTTTAAGTACAAACTGAAACATTTCTGTTACATTTTAGAGCTTTACAGAGAAGAGAAATCTCCCACCCCAAGTTTATTTTAGCAATCAGCAGGGAAAGAGTGCTATTTGATTTCTTTTAGTTGTAAGCACACATTTGACAGCTATTATGGTATTCTAACTGGCCATCTTTAAACATGGTTTCAAACAAAGACCTTGCACTTGGTTAATTCTATTATACTATTTTATTTCCTCTTGCACAAAACTTTTATTATTTTCGCTAGATGAAAAGAAACAGATATTATTTTTTGTACTGGGCTTTTGCATTTTATATGTTATAGCGCTTATATATGTTATAAAATAATTAGTTTTTAATATTTTTCAAAAGTGAAATTTCCTATATTATTAAGCTAAAAAAAATTTCCTGCATTTTTTCATTCAGTCTCAGTCACAACAAACTCACCGAGAAAGGCTGTGAGACACTGGCTTCTTTGCTCAGCTTCAGAGCTTCCCACCTGAAAGACCTGGACCTGAGTTATAATGACCTGCAGGATTCAGGGGTAATAGCACTGTGTAATGCACTGACAAAACCACAGTGTGGATTAAAAACACTAAGGTCAGTTCACATGATGTTATCACAATAAATCTCCTATAAGGGTAGTAAATAATCGATCTGCTCAATTTGTAAGTTTGCTCATTTACAAACAAATGAACAGTCTCCAGATTTTATGGTAGTCCCATTTTTACTGAAAGAGACAGAATATCAATCAAAAATCCAGAAGAAAGGGTGTTTCATAAAAGTTATGAATTGATTTGCATGTCATGGATTAAAAGAACTTTTTGATCCACTACTGCCTAACCAGAATTCTGGCTCCCACAAATTAGCAGATTGTTGGGTCTAAACTCAGACCCCGCTGTATCCAGGACTTATTCCCGTGAAAGAAAAACAAGGCAACAGCGATCGATCGTTCCACTTGCAAGGAAGGCCTCGTTGATGTCTACCACAAAATGACCCCAAATCTGGCCTCCTCCCGCTGCCTTTTATTGAGAGACAGTTCACACAAAACACATCACAGCAAAGCAACGCCCACATGGTTCTAAGACAAAGCATTGTATGTATATGTGTGAACTTCTGTATTTAAGTAAGAATGTGTGTGTGTGTGTGTGTGTGTGTGTCATGGGGGTGCGTTTGTGTGACCTCCTGTTGACCAAAAGGGTCATAAAAGCAGGAAGCTTACAACACAAGAAACAGATCTTCCAGATAGGATGTATCTACAATAAAACACTACAGCCCCCCCACCCAGAACCTCGAGAATCTGGGGGGAAAGACAGTGGAATTCCTTTCATCAGAGTTGGCAAGCATAAAAATTACAACATTTAACAATTCACTCTAACAGAGATTACAGTCAATAAATCAGCCAATTACCGATACTCCTGACCTCAACTTATTATCTGTATAAAGCACACCTATCCACAGATTCAGTTTATTCCATTCCAAGCTTGGACAAGAACCTCCGTCTCTCAGCTAGAACACTGAGTATGGTTCGCGAATCCAGTTCCAGCGGAACAATGACCCAAAACATACTGCCATGGAAACAAGAGTGGCTAAAGAAGAAAATAATAATCACATTAAGATCACAGAGTAGCCTTAATCCTACAGAAAATAAAACTAATTCCATTAAAATGAAACTACCATAAAATTAGAGACTGTTCATTTCTTTGTAAAAACTTCAAAACTTGACAAAACATCAATTCAGCAAGGTATCAAATAATTATTTTCTCCAGTGTACATGGAGCCTCTTGCAGTATAACAAAAGTCTTACTGAATTCAACATTTTTCAGACAGTTTAAGAGATGGTCTGTTATCGTGCAGTTACAATGCCTTGCAATAATTTGTACATTTAATATGCTTGAGATATTTATATATAACCACCACCAAGTCCCTTTGTTACTTTCAATGGATGATTTTTTTTGTTTTAATCTCTGAAATAATCATATGATTATGTATGAATTTAGTTTGTGAGGTATATGCACACATTAAGACTGGTCTTGATAAGATCATCTACCACACCCACTGTTTGATTTCTGTAGGCTGTCATTTTGTAAAGTGACACAACGTGGAGGCTCCTCGTTGGTCTCAGCTCTTGACTCGAACTACTGCAGCCTCAAAGATCTGGACCTCAGCTTTAATAACCTCAGTGAAGAAGTAGTCAAGCTGCTAAATCAAAAAAAGAGAGATACATGCTGCAGTCTGGAAAATGTCAAGTATGGAAAAAAATCCTGTCTTAAAAAGAATAATTTAATTTATTATCAGTTTTTCAGTCATTTTAATATTGCAAGATCTATTATCGTTCTTCGTAAACAACAGTGCTTTTGTTTATTTTTCCCATTAGTGTGGACCACAATGAAGAATGTTGGGTCGATCTGAAGCTACTGAGACAGTGTAAGAAAAATATGTTCAAGAAACACTGCATGTGATGTGATTTGCGTGCAGGTTGTAATCTATATTTTGAAATATAAAAATTTGTTTTAAATTGGGGGGCGGGGGGTTTGAAAAAGAAGAAAAATCAGTTGGATTTATTAGTGTTAATACTCAATGAGAATTATCAACAAGGTGTCCTGATAGAAAACATAAATAGCAGACAAAACACTGAATTTGCTGGCTTTAAATTTTATTTTATACCTCAAAAGATAAATGATTAGTTGGTTTAAAGTCATAAACAAATTAGAAATGCTGATACACAAGACAATAAGATGGAGTCCACATTGACCGAGCAACGGAGCAACATTTAATCTTAAATCAAAGTGTGTTGTGTGTCTGTTGTTTACGGACACAGTGTACATGCAGTTATTTGGTGGCACCTGTAAATAATAACTAAACCACTTTTGTTTTAAGCTTCATAGCAACATTATCTGAGATCAAGAACGGCACAAACAGTTAACGTTTTCCTACTGTTTTGATTGCAGATGCCTGTGACCTAACACTTGATCCCAACACAGCAGGTGTGAATATTATTTTAACCAAGGAGAAAAAAATGGCAGAATGTGTTCAAGAGAAGCAACCATATCCTGATCATCCAGACAGATTTAATACCCTCCAGGTTCTCTGTGAAGAAGGTCTGACAAGTCGCCATTACTGGGAGGTTGAGTGTTTACGGGCTGATGTTGGAGTGGCATATAAAAGCATTGACCGGGTGGGAGACTCTTCCTCTGAATTTTCTTTTGGAAAAAATGAAAAGTCTTGGTGCTGGATGAATGATGGTGTTTTTAGTCATAACAATAACTTAACATTTTTGAAAAGTACACCACTGTGGTGTACCATAGGAATGTATCTGGACTGGCCGGCAGGTATTTTGTCCTTCTTTAAAGTCTCTGCTGACACAGTTACTCATCTCTACACCGTACACACAGCTTTCACTGAACCACTCCATCCTAGTTTCTCTCTGGATCAGTTGGGATCAATTTACCTTTGTAAACAAAGAAAAGAAGAAAATTTTAGATGAAAGGAAAGAAAGATTATTCAGGAAATTTTTTTTTATGATATCTCTTTATATTATGTCGTGCTCAGCTGCATATAATAAAGACACGGTTTCATGTCCTGCATGCCATCAACAACACTAAAAATGTGGGCTCACTTTTTAGCAGACTTCAGAAATTTGCCAGACCAAATGTGTGGGACTCTAACGACCTATCAAAGACAGTTGTATATGTTTATCCCAACTGTGTTGACTGTACATTTTGTAAAATGTTAAACATGACTTTTATTATACATTCATTTGTAATGTTTGAGTTGTGCTGTGTTGTAACATTTTTTGAAAGGTGCTGTATAAATAAATGTATTATCTTTCTTTAAAATTGTATATTTACTGATTTGTACTCATGTATCTTTTCCATTTTATATTTATACACCTCCTAACAACAACAACAACAACAACAATAATTTGTAGGGAACAAAATCTGTGCAAATTAAAAAGTCACATATTTATTATAATTCTTAGCTTCTTCCTAGGATGACCCCAATAGTGGCTGCACACAGCTTGTACAGGCTGCATTTGCTTTTGCATGAATTTTATCAACCTGATAGGTCAGATAACAGAAAAATATTGTGGCAATTTTTGATTTGGATTACTAGTCTACCTTGTTATTTACTTTTAATGATAAGAGAAACCACGAGTGAAAGACACTGGGTGTTTATCTGTCTCTGTCTTTTTCTCCCTGACTGCAACAACAATATATTGCAACCAACATGAAATTTTTTACACAGTGAGCAAACCAGAGATCTGTATGGACCAATGTGGAGATCTTGTTTGATTGTTTTCACGTAAAGTACATCCAATGATCTCATATTCCAAAGCCCTTAATCTCTTCTCATTCAAAAGCCACACACCTGCAGAACATGACTAGTACAAAATTTTTCATATTCTGATCAGTGAACCCAGTGGGTTCAACATTTCTTTTGAGTTCCATGTAACAATCCCTAACTCTGTAATTAAAGAATGCGCCATTTAATCTTGGCTGGCTAAAATGGGGTGGCTGCCGTTCAGGATTTAGCACAAGTCAGCTTTTGATCAGAAAGTTTTCTGGTTTGATCCCTGGCTGCTCCAATCTGCAGGCGAAATAT